AGCTACCTTTCAAATCAAACTATATGAATATTATGATTTATGTTTAGTCCTCATACTGCTGAGATTATTCTTAAGTGTTTATTAGGACAACATCATAATACTTTGTGTTAGTGAGATTACAGTCGCCGTAATTTTTCTCTTACATGCTTTAATGCATCCATTACAAATATCAACTCTGAGAGTTGACCACGCACCATTTTTTAAGTAGACACAATATTGTTGAATAGCTGGAGAGACTTAAAACTGTTGACTTTATCTATCATTAAAGATGTGATATCCAGAAAGACTTTTACTGCCTTATTAAGAATAAGTGAGCCATATATTGTAGAATAACACGGATTTTTCAAAAGTCGAACCGGATCGAAAATGTAATACATTTTATGAACTGTTCACAATCTCGGTATAGAATGTACAAAGAAATATACGAAAATATAAACTTCTGTACTATATAATCTATCTACTGCTGTTATTCTATAATAAAACTGGTTATTCCGTAAATTTAATAGTTACTGTTATAATGTTTGATTTATTTAAACTAATTTTGTACACGATGCAGTAAATACAGATGGAACAACAAGATAGAGAACACAATATTTTTAAGTAGGGTACAGGGAGTGTTACAAGGAAAATTGAAAAAATGTTTACATATTTTTATTTCAGTATTAGCTGTTCTTTTTAGTTAGGCCTGCTATTTATAGTACATGAAATTTGTGCAATGCGATTACATTTGACCACCTATAATTTACTGTGTAAATTATTATTCTGTACAACTGTACTATTTATATATTGTGTATTTGTACTTAAATTTTTTACAAAGTAACACAAATAGGCATAGATTGTGTAGAGATAACGGAACAAGAACCTCAAGTATTAATATGAAACGATTTCAATAATATTTAGTTTACATATTATTTAAAACAAATAAAATCTCTTATTTCAGAACAATAAAGTATTTTTGTCGTAACCAAGTGGTCTTCTTTTCTATTACCCTGATGGTAATCTTAATATTTTTGTAAGCTACATTTACAAAAATATATTATTATTTCTATAATTATAAGAGATGCAAGCAGTGTTTTTGTAATCATAATTGGTTGTTATTTTCAGATAAATTGTTTTAATCATAATATCATCTCGTCGCAATATAAAAATAATTCCATTTTCGAAACAGTGAAAGAAAGTAAATAATTTATTACAGTATTCGATGCTAATTGGCGTGTATTTGAAGTACACTAACATCTTAAGCTTGTGTAATAGATTTATCCCTACTTTTATCTATTTTCCTTTTTTATTTAAAAGGAAATATTATTAGTTAAATTGAAAATTTTTTAAATATTTCAACATTACTTTTCAAATATTCCCCTCCATTTTGAAAATTTGATTTTTGTGTAGTTTCCGCGGAAGAATATTTGAAAATTTCGGAGATAAAACGGATAGAAGATACAAGGGATGAAGGAAAGGAGCTCTGAATATTTTTAAATATATAATTGCGGTATTTCTAGGCACGTATTCGGGTTATTTAAATATAAATTTACATATTGGACGTTCTTTTGGAATATAATGAAGCAGGTGGAAAACAAATATGGCGCAGTCGCAACAAATTTTTAGGGCACTATGTTGACTGCCATCTGAGCTAGCTGCAGACTTGGCCGCACTAAAATTCAATATGGCAGTAATTCAAACTGTCCACCAAACACCAAATGATGTATGGACTGATGGAGCGGTAAACGATCGAGTATAGAAATCAAATGACAATAAAATTACTATGACAGTGCATGTGATGCAAAACTTGGTAAAGAGTTAACAATGAGTACACCGAAACTGAAGCATGTCGTAACTTTCGACGAAAGATGTAAGGAAGGTAAGTCAAGGTACACAACTTCAACAGATTATATTCTTATTCAATTAGTTTGTTAATTTGCTTACTTCGTAAAATATACAATTAGAACTTAGAATTGTTGTCATGGCAGGTGTCTACACACCAGTATACTTACCATGGAAGTAAAACATTTGAAAATGTTGTATGTCTATTTTTCAGGTGTATTCATTTTACTGTTGCAACTATAGTTCAGTAAAGAAAATGTTGTAAACTGTAAACACAATGTCTAAAGGATATATGTACTTAGAAATTGGCTACTCTGAGAACAGGATTGAGTAGTTATGAATTAGGAACTGCACTTTTTTTTCGATACCTGTGCCCATTGGCGTTTATAAATTGAAATATGGCGTTTAAAAGAAAATGACTGCAGAAGAATTACCAGAAGCAATGGAAAGAAGATCCACTCCTATTCTCAGAATAGTCTGTTTTTACTGAGATGAATGCTGTTGCTTATATGTAAAAGATAATTTAGTTGCAGAGTTGAATAATTGATATTTATTAGAAATACAGGGTGTCTCAGCTAAATTAGAAGTCCCTTAAATATTTGCCTTATTTATTCAGACACCCTGTACTTGGTGTAATAATTTCATTATTCTGTAGATGATGCAGCATTATATAATTATTTCTGATTTTCAAAGTATATTAGATATATTGATCGCTTCAATGCCCCTTAAAAATACAAGCCTAGGTGAATCACAAAGATCATTTCATTCTCATTAGGCTAAACTCTTAGGTTCTTGAATTTATTTTAATGATATTTTATATTACAAAAATTGTCTCTGCTTGTATTATGGAATTCATTATCAATACTTTACATTGATGCACATTTCTTCCATATTATAAACTTGTTTGCACAGTGTAAAATAGAGCTAAGCTATTCATTTGTTTAAGTTTACTGAAAAGAAAATGTTGCCACATCTTTTAAAGAACAAACTTAAGCATGGGTAGCAGAGGAGTCAGAGACATTCCAACAATATTTCATCCTCAACAAACTCATACTTCAAATATCATTCTTGGTGACAATCAGCAGAACCATGGTTCCCAAAGCAGCCAAATTACTCATGATAATCCTGGTAAGCATGTGATAATAAGTACTTAAACCTTATGCTGAATTATACCAACAATTTGAATTATTTGAACGCTGAATACACACCTTTTGATCAAAACAATATGTTAGCATTTATTCATTTTATAATTAATATTTTTTAAATAATTAAATCACGAGGTACACAATACACAAGGTGCTTATCACTTCTCCATCATTCCTTCTTCCAAGATTAGGTCCCATTACACAAAGCACACAGAAGAGGATCACCGTACAAAAGACTGAACGAGCACAGTTTCTTCTTATGCACTTCTACTACTGTATATGTATTAATCTTGTACAGTTTCTGTGTAAAACAAAAAGTGACTTATTGTCGTCGATCTAACAGCATTAATATTTTCAGCAAGTCGAGTGTAACGTTTGTAAACATAGATAATGCATTACGTGCGTCTTTTCAAGGTTTATTCTTTGAATCTAAAGATGTCGATTATTTGTTTTTTTTATATGATTTACGATTGACAAACGAAGCGTGCCACAAAGTAATTTTACTCAAGATGTTTCTGAACTGTTTGTTAATCCGTAACACTCCTCGGATATAGTCTTGACTAATTGATTTCATTATTTAGGATGCGAACAGCAACAAGGATGCAGCATCAGCAGTGGTTGCAGCGATTCTGCACCGAGTTGTCGTACTTTGGAGACAACCGGAAGTGGAGGAATCGCCGAAAGAACTGGTGGCAACCAGGGCCACATCAGTCAAATACAAGTTCAACAACATATGTCTGCACCTTCTGTTACATACCAACAAAGATCTAATTCTCTCTCAGCTTGCTACGCTTCCTGTTGCGCTGAGTCTGCAAAAAAGGTTCATCAATTTTTAATCTAACATTAATCTAAACTATTGTGTGCAGTTACTCATCATGGTATTATAATTGCAGATATACTTTGGAGTGTGTGTAACCATATGCGTCACAGCAAGCTGGGTCGGTGCAACACATTGTATTAAATATTTATATTTCAACAAACTTGACAGTTCCAGCTCTTTATTATCTTCGAACTCATCAGCGACGGGGCTACATCAGCAGCATGTATCTTCGTTCGTCCTTCTCTTCTTCTGATGGAACTGTTTCTGATACATTTTATTGTTTCAGACGGTTCCATACAACGCGCCCTTCTTCACAACATGGTTCTGCACGAACTGGGAAATCCTCTACTACCCCATTTACTTCATTTGCCAAGCGGCGAGAATCAAATGCAACACTCCATCCGAGATCATCGCAGAAAATTTGCGTGGATTTCGTGACAAAGGGTTCACCGGCGGACGTTTCTTGAGTAGATGTAGCTTATTCTGTGGACTTTGGGTGGTTACCAATTACATGTACATTTACTCGCTCAGAATATTGTTAGCTACCGATGTGATGGCTCTTTTCGCGACAAACGTGTCCTGCGTTTATTTATTATCATGGGTTATTCTTCACGAGCAATTCGTTGGCGTAAGGGTTGGTATCATTTACTATAAAAGTCTGTTGCACAGGAAATGATTACTTTTGTATTTAATACGTTCTAAACACGTTGCAGATAGTAGCAGTAATTTTGTGCAACACTGGGATTGCACTTTTTGCGTATATGGATGGAATAACCGGAAGTCCAACCTTAGGAGGTGTTGTTCTAGCAACGTCCGCAGCAGCTGGTTCTGCTGTTTACAAGGTAGCTATCAGCATCATGTTGGCATTAATATTACAGCATTGTAACTGTAATGTGATTGCGCGATTTATTTCAAAATTTTTGAATAATAATCAATTAGGTGCTGTTCAAGAAAGTTCTAGGAGAAACGACATTCGGACAAATGTCTCTGTTCTTTTCACTTATCGGATTGTGCAATGCGATGCTGTTATGGCCAATTTGTTTGGCTCTGTACTTTACGGGGGTCGAGAGTGTGCATTGGGAACGGTTACCATGGACAGCATTACTTCTAGCTAGCATTCTCCATTTAGGTGCATCTTTAACCAATTTGTTTTTATACCTATAACATATATTTGCAAGTTATACTGATACGTTTATTATTTCAGTTGCAAATATGCTTGGCAACTTCAGTATTGCTCTGACATATGACCTGTTCATCACTCTGGGATTAATCACAGCTGTACCTGTGTCTGCTGGTATGTAGACTAATAAAAATAATTTAGTTACTAATAAGAAGCAATAATGACTAGTGTCTTTATGTTATAGCGCTAGATGTTGTTTTATATGGAGCCCATTTTGTGGGTATGAAACTAGCAGGGATGATTTTCATAGCAGTTGGCTTCTTCCTTGTGATGTTTCCGGACAATTGGCCCGATTATATAACCAGATTACTTCGGTATGTTCTTTGAATACACTTTGCAAATATCATTTATGGTATGTTTTCTAACTTCAAATTAATTTCTTTCTTAGTCTTTAGTTACGTAGTAAGTTTGCTAATGTTTTACCTCTGACAACGTATAATACACGGTATCCAGAATGAGTACACTAGGATATCTGCATTGCACTTAAAATTTTGAGACTATCTCAGAAATCGATATCGAGAGATTTTCTAACTTCCAGCTTGGATTAGAAAAGGTGAAATATGGTATTTTGGCAGTCAAATGTCTGCAATTTGAATTTATTTCTAAGGAAAAAGGAAATATTTTATATTAAACAAGTTTTAATATCGATCTCTTCCATATTTCATCTTTGAGGCGTTACAACTTTTCTTATTGTTCTCTCTTCGTAAGTTAAAAGTAAAGTACTGAGGCTCATACTTTTAGATGCTGCGCAATATTATATTTACACGAATCTATTAGATTTATATTTTCTTCTCTCTACTTTTGCAAGATTACCGAACTACTGTTTATTTTGTTTTGCACTAACTTAGAACTACTGTGTAGCTCGCCGATGTAGTATATGCTTGATACACAAGATTCTCCATAAATGTACATATGTAAATTATGTCTTTACCAAAAGGCAACGTGTTTAGGTCGAAAAGGTGGCAACCCAACTTGTCGCAGTTTATTTGAAGTTTTTCTGTTTTTGTTGCATAGAAGGTGTTCAAAGCAAACTGTAGAAATTTTGTTTGGCATTTAGTGATACTTCGTGTGTATTCCTCTAGTTCGCTAAAATAAAACACCAGCATTCATGTTGTTTTACAGGATGCCTGGAATATGCAAGAAGTTTAAAGTATAGCTAAATGAATACTGAATAATTCGAATTGAAAAGAAAAAGATAGCGAAAACACATTGAAAAGTTCTACTATGTAGGTCTTTATGAGTCTAAGCTAATTAAACGACATGTTACTAGGATCACGAAATAAATTAAACTATAAACGAGAATTTAGGTAACTTATCTTAATCAGTTTAGTGTAAGAACAAGTTCATATTTGATATTATCATTATTATTCAACGATATTTGCATATTCTTCCAATTGTTCATGATCAGCCATTCTGAACATCCAACGTGAGAGACATTAAATAATTCAAAGTTTATAATAACATTGTTCAAATTCTTTTTTATACAAATTAACTTGCATATGCAATTCATCGTTGTGTATCAGTTTAATAGATGAAACAAAATTTTGTTGAAATATACGATTTTAAACAAACTTTTTGTTACGTTATTAGAAGGGTTTCTTATACTTAAAGAGGCAATTAAATAAGTAGTAAGGTACATTCCTGTTTAGAAATATTAAGGTACCAAAAACAGGTGTCCCTATACCAATGAGCAAATAGATTGATGAATCCACACCGATTAAAACATCCTGAACAAACTCTTGGCAGCATTCTCGAGCTCAAGACTGATACTCAATCTTTCTTTAACTACTGAAATTTCTTTTAACATTTTTTTAGCCCAAAATCTATTGAAGTTTAACGCGAAATTCAGACGGTATTACAGTTATAGTTGTGTCTGTGCCCGAAAACCACTGAAATAAACGGGAGAATAACAAAATTTCTTGAGCTGCTTATTGTGTTGTGTGTGGATCGACGTCAACACTCCATCACTCGCTTCCCAACAATCAGGATGCATTTATATGCTGTTACAGAAACATAGTCCTCATGAGTCACAGTTCGAGGTAAGAGAATACATCGCCAGCCTCTTCTTGGTCGCGTAAAAAATTCATCCACTTTCCTTATTTCTCAAAAACAGCCATACTACAGTAATTGCTTCACTTATGTGTTTCCAAAAATGTCTGTGCAATTTTTATGGGAAGGAATTACTATTCATTAAATAGTATTAAGTTACTGTTATGGAATAATTTTTATTTTTATGCTTTATAAGTTTCATTCAAACTAAAACTTTAAACTTTATAATTGGGAAAGCCTTTTAAAGCGTTTCTATGCCTCATGTTTCAGATAGTCCTGATTAAAATTTCAAGAAAATTTCCGGATATTGTTATGGATGAATTTTTTACGAACGACAAAGAAAGTGTGAGAAAGTTGCATGGATTTCTACTTTGCTGTGTCAATTCTGTGTCTGCGCGGATACACAACGAAACCAAACGTGTTGGCTTTGATTCGTGCTGATTAAAACGAGCATGACTTTTCTTGCATTCGCGCGCGCACGCACGCACGCACTGATTTTGATTTAAATTTGTAAATAGACGTGCCACGAATTCACGACGGTAATCAATCATTTTCGTTTAAGATTAGGACATTCGATATTTTCACCACGAATTTTTAAAGATTAATTCAAGCCGCTTCAGAATAGCGCCGTTCTTCTAACTGTTAGATGTTAAGAAAATAAGAGAGAGAAAAAGGAAGGCGCGGAGAGACAGATGGACACACTAATGATCATCATGGTGATACAACACGGTGATATTTATGAAAGTCCTGGGATTAATCATATGCAGTACCACGGGAACCCAGCAGCACAGGAACAATGCTACTAGAAGCCGGTGTTCCTCAATGCACCAACGGCAATATCGGCTGAGAAGCTACGGGGTCTCGTCGGGCCATGATGACGGGCAAATGCTGCTACCGATTAACAACATTAACAGGAATCAGAGTAACGGGAGTCCACGACCTCGACAACAACCTCCACCATCACCTTGAACCTAACACACCGGCACAATAACTCGTCCCAACAGAACAACAAGGTTTTCGAACCCCAACTTTGACGTCTCCCTAGTTCCATTTCGTTCACGAAAACGACCTCGACCCCAATCGCGACCTCAACCTTCATCACGACGAAAAGTCATCAATGTTCCCACCTTTCTGGCCTACAGAGACAATAACAAGGTATGAGTGTACATTTAGGACAAGATAGAAGCCGACCTCTGCGTACGGTACACAGATGAATCCCGATCTTTACCACTGGAGATTGCTGACTCTTGGGATCGAAACAGAAATCGCATTGCTCCCTTTTGTTTCTTCTTTCTTTAACGATTCTCTAGTGGAGAAAAGGAATTTACATTTATTCTATGCCAATCAAAGACGTTGGGACCAAGATGACCAATTTATTCTGTCTACATAAAATACTAGGATTTAATACTATTAATATATATATATATATTTTAATTATGCATTTGTTATCGCTAGTACGTATACAGTATGCCTGCGTTTAAGGAATGACTTTAGAAATTGTTTAACAATGTAACTCAACCGTTTGTTTACACGTAGTTTAATCATTAAGTCCGTTAGCATTCTCCTACTACGTATACCTATTATACATACATAATTATTCGGGTGTCGAGCAGTTATTTTCCATTACTTATTCTACATTTCATATTTGGAATGAAGCACTGTGACCAATGTCATGCTGCTCTGTGTCTCGTCAAATTATTCGTGTTGCCGTACTCGAATCAAAGAAGTGGGAAAGCTCCAAAAAATCGCGTAGATCCTATACAACATTTTACTAATCTGGCTCTCCTATTTTTAAGTTATCTCAGTCAAACTACAGTAATTTATTGCCTTCTTTTGATTCGAGTATGGTTAGATTTGTAATTCAAAACAGTCTAAGCAATTTCTGGATTATCATGTAAATCTGGTAATGGATAGGCAATTTAATTATCAATAATCAAAGTCTGATTCCACAGTTTTTATGTTTATTTTAAATGCAAGTGTATGAGACAAACTCACGAAAGAAAATTTCATTTAATGTTAAGGGATAAGAGTATATTTTAAGAAATGGTCCAGAAATTTCTGAGGCTGTCTTAGAAGGAATTCCTCTAACATTGAAAATGTGAGGCAATGTGATTATCTGCATGCGGCCAAGACTCCACTAATGGAACGTTTGAGTAACATAATTGACCTAAGATCTAATTGCAGATGGAGTAGAAGACGTGGGCACGGTGTATCGGATGGTACCCAACGTGACGTGATCGATTATCGGACCGGCTACATAAAATCCCATCTTCGTTCACCCTCAGGAAGAGTTAGGTGACTAAGTGACTGGTGGACTATGCAGACAGTCGTGGTGCAACACAGAAAATGCCAAAAGAAATTACGGAAGATCAGTAAAACCAACAAGAAATCACGTCAATATGAATGTAGAATCATCCTAAATCTGATTGCGTTACTTCACATATTCGTTCTACAATAGATTCATGTGTTCTAATCACAGACACACAGAGCATAATTCACTGGAAACCTGATCACTTTACTTGCAACACTGTTGACAGTATTTCAGATTCCTCCTGTCGTGTGTTAACACTTTACTATAACAATATTCTTAACGATTCAGAATGATGCTGTTATATTTTTAACAATACACAAGTCCCGAACAGTTACAGAGATTCCTTGTTAAAACTGTTTATTCTAAGAATACAACATTTATTGAGGGGCACTATTTCAGTGATTCTTATTCATATATATTTTATTTAGTTTTTTATTTGCTGTTCCAGTTCAACGTTTGAGTGCTTGAATAAAAAATTATATATACTACAATATGAAAGTACATAATGTATGTTTACTTTTTATTTAAAGTTTTATCAATATTTTATTTTATTTATTGTTACAGTTTCAATGCTTCAATATATAAATGAAGATTTAAGTATACTACGGTATCAAAGTGTATACATTCTTTTTCAAGCATGAAATCTTGAGCGGTTAAAAAAGCTTAATTTTTGCGAACAGGATGTATCGGATGGTCCATATCGGGCATGATTGGTGGGTTTTTTTCGCATTCCCGAATTTCTTCCATGCCTGTTTCAGCGATTTTCCATAACTCTGGATGCTTTATTTTGAAATTATTGTACCATTTTTGTATACGAGGCCATTGATCCAATTTGAAATCGATTGCTTCTAGACATAGGGTGGCGGTTATCAGTGGGAAATCAGCGATAGTCAATGTGTCTGTAAGAATAATTATTTGTTCATATATAGTACACTTGTAAATAATAGCTAATATATCGAAATTTCTGTAATTAAGCAAACTGACTTCCTGCAGCATATTCGGAATTTTCACGTTTTAGATATGTTTCGAAAGCGTCTATAGCAATCGTCATTTTCTTCAATCCCAAGGCAGTTCTTTTGTAATCAAAAAATATGGGATTCATCTGTAAAAAAAACATTTAATAATGATAATATTTCTAACAAAGTCAAATTGAATGATCAGTGAATATTTTCAGAAAAATTATCCAACTTTAAACCATTGTTGCCTCTACTCTTTATACAATAGTGTCTATTTATTTATTTATTTTAATTTAAGTTTATTATAGACTGAATACGTACCACGTAATCAGAAATGTTGCGATAATACATGGCCAAATTAAAGCACAAACGATGATTGACAATCGCTCTTGCCTTTGCATCTTTTGGATACAGTTTACCATCTGTATCGTACTTATCACCCAGATATTGCAAAATAGCATTGCTGATATGTACATGTACAAAGAAATTACATAACATATCAAGATTTACTTCAAATTTTATATGGTTACTACATCAATGGACTAACATATTTTAAAAATACCTTTCACCCATTACCAAATCACCATCAACCAAAACAGGTATTTCCTTTTGCGGATTTAGCTGTAAGAATAACATTACAGAAATTATTATTATGTGTTATACTTTTCAAGTTATAGACTTTTAATAACGATAGCTATACTTTTTCATATTCCTCTGTCATGTGTTCGCCTTTACCAAAATCAATAGACACCAATTCATAGTCAATATCTAAAGCTTTTAATGCTTGGCGACATGCTAGAGACGGTGGTCCATCGGAAACGGAATAGAGCTTCATTGTTTAAACTAAAACATTCAATTCCTCACGTAAAATGTAATTCTGAAGAAACAAAAATATTTCATATAGTAAATCGATTTATTTCTCGTATAATATGATACGTTGTGAATTAATTATAAAATATATATGAGTAAAATTGAGTAGGATAAAAACTTTATATAGTGCTTACTTATAAGACAAAGATTTTAATGTATCTGCCGCAAAGAACAACTTGTGCGATGTTCACTACAAGACTGAGACTGAGGTATTCGCCTATCTGCCTGAAATATTATCTGATGTTCCTTTCACTTCAGTTATTCCTCAAGGCTTCTGAGTGACCTCGATTTAAATGTGCAGTAAATAAGGCGGATCAAACTCATTTGCAGGTTAAGACAATAAGATAATATGATAATTGAGATATCCACATTATTCTTTTGCGTTTGACATTTTCTTGACTTTGCCGGCTGATTTCGAATTCGCTTTGAAACCAAAATTACCTTATCTTAAAGTAGACACTTTCAGCTTTAATTTAAGCTACGTAACATTAAAAAATTGCCTTGGGAATGCAATAAAAAGTCGACTTGAAATTTCGCTTTAAAATCGCCCCGTGATTCCAATGCATGAAAATTCGAAACTTCCCGCGGGCATTTATTTTCAAATTGATTTCAATTTAAAATGTTTCTCATTCGTGCCACCAGATGGCGAAATTTTTCGTTTTTATTATTTGATTCCACCTCGCTACTTTGTGTATTCAGGTTAGGTTACTGTACCACATGGGCGAAACATTTGTTCTTTAGGGTTACTTTTGAATTGTTGTGAATAATTATATTTACTTGTAAATAACGTAAGAATGTCTGTGCCTGAGAAAGTTTTAATGCGAAAAATAAGGAAAAGAGAAAAAAGAAAGCTACAGATATTGACAGACCGAGAAAAGCAAGCGCAAAATGGTAAATTCAAATTTTGTGGATGACTTTTGGTTATATTTGATCGCTCGTTGATGCAATTTAAGTTAATAACTCATTGTTTTTTGACAGAAAATGAAAGTGAAATACAGAATGTATTTCCAAAATCTCCAAAAGAAAGTAAGTCAAAACAAAGGATCGTTTGTATTTAAATTTCGAAAGATTTTCTTAATTACTTTGTACAAGATGATGTTGTATTTCTTCATTTTTAACAATCAAATTACAAGTGGACGTTCATGTTATATTTCAGGAAAGAGAAAGAAAACTGATGGACTGAAGGAGGCTGATGTGCCTCCAAGTACAGACGATGAAAGTGAAAATAAAGAAACTATGGATTGTAAGTATAATGCAACTAGTCTTTAATTAAAGGACATTGGGCATATGCTTAATTCATTTTGTTTCTTGTTAGTACCTGGATCAGCAATTGGCTTTGAGGTCACAAATGATACTAGTTTCAAAGTATTAGAAGCATTGGTGTGTGAGAACACTTTAAAAGCTATCTATGATATGGGTTTCAAAAATATGACTGAAATCCAAGCAAAAGCGATACCACCATTGTTAGAAGGCAGGGATTTAGTGGGTGCTGCTAAAACAGGATCTGGAAAGACTTTAGCATTTTTAATACCAGCAATTGAACTAATTTATAAATTGAAATTCATGCCCCGTAATGGTATGTAAATGATAGAGACAACAAAATTATTTTCGACTTATTCAATTGTATTCGTACTTACAGGCACAGGTTGTGTTATTATATCTCCAACACGAGAATTGTCCATGCAAACGTTTGGAGTCTTAAAAGAGCTAATGAAATATCACTATCATACGTATGGTTTGTTAATGGGAGGTGCAAATAGGCAAACCGAAGCTCAGAAGCTTTCAAAAGGAATTAACATTGTTGTAGCAACACCTGGTAGATTATTGGATCACCTGCAGAATACAACAGACTTTTTGTTTAAAAATCTTCAGTGTTTGGTTATCGACGAAGCTGACCGTATTTTGGACATTGGATTTGAGGAAGAGCTCAAGCAAATTATAAATATTTTACCAAGTTAGTTACCATCACAGCAAAATAAGCAGAATTTCATCCTATTAAGGATTATCAACTTCTTATATTTACAGAAAAGAGACAAACAATGTTGTTCAGTGCTACGCAAACAAAAAAAACAGAAATGTTAACAACATTAGCACTGAAAAAAGAACCGGTTTATGTTGGCGTTGATGATGACAAGGACAAAGCAACGGTTGAAGGTTTGGAACAGGGATACGTGTGTTGTCCTAGCGAGAAAAGATTCTTGCTGTTATTTACTTTCTTGAAGAAAAATCGGAAGAAGAAAGTAATGGTTTTCTTCAGCTCTTGTATGTCGGTCAAATATCACCATGAGCTTTTGAACTACATCGACTTACCAGTATTAAGTATACATGTAAGTATGTCAAAATGGTTGATAGATATGGAAATGTGAGATATTCCTACGAATTTTTTATTTCTTAGGGAAAACAAAAGCAGACGAAGAGAACGACAACATTCTTCCAATTTTGTAACGCGACTTCTGGTATACTTCTTTGTACCGATGTAGCAGCTCGTGGTCTTGATATTCCTGCTGTTGATTGGATCGTTCAATACGATCCACCCGATGATCCTAAGGTTAATTATTAAAAATACATCAAAGCTTAAAGTGGAGAAATATATTTGTAAGATTTTTCAGTGATACGTTGTTGTAAATGCCATTTCAGGAATATATTCATCGGGTTGGCAGAACTGCCCGAGGAGAAGGCAGCAGTGGACATGCCTTATTAATTTTGAGGCCAGAAGAACTCGGTTTTCTTCGTTATCTTAAACAAGCAAAGGTTCCGGTAAACGAATTCGATTTTTCATGGGATAAAATTGCGGACATCCAACTGCAGGTAAGATGCTAATTTTTCTTGAAAATTTGTATAAATTGAGATCGACTAATATGTTGGTGTTCAATTGTTTTACGAAACTTTCATGAGCGGAATAAAATTATAAATTTAGGTTTTATAGTATTCAAGAGTAATTATTATGGCTAGCTCTCGCATCTCGCCGCTTGTTTATAAATTGTTGATGCTTCTCTTTCAGCTTGAAAAGTTAATTTCGAAAAATTACTTTTTAAACATGTCAGCGAAAGAGGCATTTAAAGCGTACGTGAGAGCGTACGACTCCCACCATTTGAAGCAGATCTTCGACATTGAAACGTTGGATTTGGCAAAAGTTGCGAAATCCTTTGGATTCCTTGTTCCACCAGCCATAGATTTGAGTATCCTTTTTAAAGATAGATACTGAAATAATTTTGAATTGTTTCCTGAGGTTCATATGTTTTCCAAATCAAACTTTCGTTTGTTTTCGAGATAATCGAATGGGTATCGTTAAGCTTAGAGTTGTCGATCTTCATTTATTCAATATGGCCGATTGGTTAGTGTCGTAGAGTGTGTCTATCTCGTGCCAGAGTTTAATCATTGTTTTTCGTGACATCTTCTTTGTTAAATTCGCGTAATGAAGATGAACAATCCTGTAAGTACAAGCCTCATTTTCCTTAACATTATCTCGTCGCAGAAGTATCAGTGAGCAGGAATTCTCGACCTCGAAAGAGGTTAACCGGAGGTGGTTATGGTTACTTCAAAGGCATGAATAATCCGGGTTCAGAGAAACAATTGCATCGTAGCAAAACTTTCCGTCAGAAAAATATGTCTGACAATCGACAGTTTGCTAGATAATTAAAGTTATCGCATGTTTAAGACATCGAATTGTACAGTACATAGCAATAAGAATAAATTTATTATATGTCTATTCTTTCTAACAATCCCATAGTTATTCTTGCGATTAATGCAATACGATTATAGGCGGATATAAATCATTAGATATCATCAATTCGTATTTACGAATATAATACGCATAACGAAAAGGTGGTTCGATTTACTTCCCTCCAAAACTTCAATTTAAATAGAACCGCCATGATTTCTGTGATAGCGACATCTTGTTTCAAAGAGGTTATATTAATCGGCAAGTTGTTTCAGCGTTTTGACGTAGATGGCGGGACAAGTGACTTAAATTAATTTTAGAAAAATCAAATGATAAGAATATAAGACACATAGTAAGTTTATATTGTGATACGATTATTACACGTAATTATATATAATATTTAACATTCGATCCTGAAATATTTTATGCAGAATACAAATAAATTTGCGTTATCCTTGAATAATCGAAACGATTCAATAAAATTACTATACAATAATATTCTACGTTACGTTTCAAGGATACTCACCAAAGCAATCGAAAATCAACATTTTTAGATTTTAACCGAATATTATCCTCGATCGCTACCGATCTATCGGGCACACAGTACCGACTGCATAGATCTAACCACGAATAGGTCGTCGCCGATGGAAATCCAAAAGAGATAAATAAAGCATGGTATCATTAATTCAATCAAAGTTCAATCTGTCTTCGGAAATACTATAACACACAGGATTCGACTAACGAGACAAACCTCTCAGTCTGAAAGACTTAATGAAAGCCTATTAACCCTTTCAGGACCAACGTCGCCATGTTGACGACAACAGGATCTAATTCCTGAAGTTGCGAGCAAACAATTTAATTGTCATTAATTATCATCATTAACAGATATCGGTATTTTTATTTTCACGAAAATTTAAAACCTTAACATACATATAGGCTAGAAATTTTGTTAAATAATTTAACAAATCTTGGAATGATTAATAGACTCGTTAGGCTTTAGCAATTTTCTTTTGTATAATAATCAAACGAAAATATCGACGGAAATAATTGTAACTTACTGGACAGTTGAACAATTCATTAGAACGTTCTGAATTTGATTTATCGTTTAATTAACAAAGAACTGTCATGTAATAGTCGATGTATATGTTAAAGAAAATAGCGTTAGGACATTTCTCGTTTGTTTGGTAGGAAAAGGTGTGCCGCGAACCGTCTATTAATTGGAAAAGCGTATCAAGACGACTACTTTATAGCACGCGACACCTACGTTGCTTCTCTGTAGGACCATGTATGGCGCATGTTGTATGACGTCAACGCTATTTTACATTAACCAATATACGTGGGCAGTCGCGTTGGATATGGCGCGAACGTAAATGTTCGTGGGAGAATACTAAGGCGAGAACCTATAGAATTCGTCTCAGCCTTCGATCGATGTCTTTTCGAGTGCCTATCGGCGCTGTACGAAAATTGATAATGTCCCGAATCCTGGCCCAAACATGGTCAAACACGACCGCAACGTGCTCGAGTTGCAAAATTACGAATAGCATAAAACTCGCGAGGATTCGTACGAATGCAGATAATTTTTATTTTCCACGAGAATCGTTGGTCCGTCGGTGCCCGTTTCAACGATTGATCCGTAGCAATAATCGTAGCTGTTAATTTTCTAATAAAGTATCGCGCAAGCCCGCCGGTATCAAGTTCAACCACGAATAGCAAAGTTAAGAATGTTTACCGTTACGGTACCCTTAATTACCGTCGGTCAAATTTCCGCGATGCGCCGCGGAAGTTATTTCGGACCGAACCCGACCCCGCGAACATATGGTTTTGTAACACCACATAGCCTAATTTTCTGCACAAGCACGCCAAGCTTCGCGCGCGATTTCTTCCAGCGGTTTTTGCGCAACGGCCGAAATTTTCGGCTGATCCGTGCGAAAAGGTTCCGCAACGACAACGACGACGACGACGACGACGAGGAGTTTCGAAAGAATCTCGCACGGTTTACGAAGGAAACAGAAGCCGCGACTACGACGCGAATGCCCACGGCGAAAAAGAATGTGCAACGAAACGTGCACGTGGGTTTAATCGTTGCAACAAGCGTGTCGTGCACTGGCAGCGGAGTTCGCTTCAGAGGCTTAAAGGGATCATTCGGCGGTTCTTTCTGAACAATTCGAGCGCGATGTGTCTAATTCGTTGCAATATGTTTCGAAAATACTGTCTAAAAATAGTGGAATACTGAAAATAGTAGACCGCGAACTACTAGCAAGCCTGAAATATGAAATTTTGAGTCATGCACCCGGTTATGTCATACGGACCCGCGCGTTGCAACACCATATTTTCGAATTCGCTTTTGGCATTTCGCGCGACTTTAAGGAGATGAAATACGCGCTTCCGATGGACAAAAGCGTGCTGTTATTGTTGTTGTATGCATCAGCGTTCGATTATCGCGTATCCTTCGACGTCTGATTTTAATCTGCGGCGCGACACAGATGGAGAATAAAAGTAGGTGAAATCATCATCGATTATGCATGCTCGAAGCACGCGTTGTTTCCAGATCGCGACGAAATTGATCGGCGCTGAGTAACAAGAGTTTCGCGATTTTTTCTTTTGTTTTTATTGTTCTTTTTTTTAACGTCTTTTGAACGTTCGCGCCGCGCGGTCGGGCAGCTGTTAAATTAACAGCAACGATTAGGAGAGACTTAACGTTTTAACCTTTACGCTTATCGACGAGACGCGCCTAGAAAACAAAGAAAACGCGAGGAGAGGGTGCGTACCGTCTGAATACGTATAAATATATCTGCGTTTTACGGACGTTCGTTCCTTTTTCGCTTGTTTCATGGAAGACGATTTCGTTATCTTTTCTTCTCTTGGTGCCGCGATACAGTTGCCCGATTGCACAACAATAACTTGAAAATAACACTTGGAGAACGAACGAACGATCGGACGGTCGAGACGGAAGAAAAAAAATCATTGTTGTCCGGTAATTCGGTTTATTTATACCGCGGATGAGTCAGGAATAGACACGTTTCGTTTCGATATCGGTGATCTCCAAATTTGGTGACGCGGAACCTGCCTCATTATAATTTCGCAAAAATTCTCTTGGCGCGTTTCTGTCGCGACCTCTAACGCGAACACGCATTCCTCGGTGTTCAGGAACAAATCTGTTTCGCGAGTCTCGTAAAAAAAAAATGAAGCTAATAAATACTGCATTTCGTCGCGGTTTTATCGCCAGTGAAATCTCCTCCGCAGGCCATTGTTTCTGTTCATTTACAAGCCGGCCGAACCAACGTCTTTATTAGCGAGTTAGAATGCACACTGTGGCATCGGTGGATACGCGCGACAATTCGCGCGACTCGTTAAAAAAGACTCCGGCGTCGCCGCGGTGCAAATATAAATCATTACAATTGCGCGTAAAACGTATTATTCAAATTTATTGCAACACCGTCGGCAACCGTAAGCAAACACCGACGACAGAAGCGGCCACGTTATTAGTGGACCAACAGAGAGATTTATCAACTCGCGAATTAGCCGCGTTCGGACGCATTTATTGCGTTTTCGCGTTAAACCTTCGGACGGAGCTGATCGCGCCTTTTACGATTCCTGTCCGGTATCCTTCTCGACGCCGATGTCCATTCGGACGATCGATCTCGGCTATTCTGCAAAAATCGTAGGGCCGGTTCGCCGAGACGAATGTGCTAATCCGCCTACGATTCGTTTTTATTGCCGTTCTAGAGAGAATGAGTTCACCGATGACTCCTTTACGCGGTGATATTACACTTTGTTTCTTCGATCATTTGGATCAGCTGGAAATAGTACATATATATAAACAATCTTAAATTTCTTGAATATTATACCGTCTTTCTGGTACCACGATCTCGTCCGTCCAATTATCTACACGAATTACAAATCGAAAACACTGTAGAATCAAGAACAAAGATAACATTTATTCGGTCCGAAGCGTGTCCAACGTTGGAAACGATATGTAAGCTAGTCGGATCGCGGGAGTGCATCGATTTCTCGTAGACACACCGATCCGCGACGGCCGGGGATCGAGTTGATGGATGTGATTTTCGGCTTCAGGGTGACTCTAAAAATGTAAGATGCAGGGCACGGCTATGGCCTCGCGCGTCCCTGAATTATCCAACTTGTATGCGACGATGGTATGGCGTGTAGCTCCGTATTCGCGCGTACGCAGAGGCCGTATATGGTAGTGGGCGGTAGAAGCGCGCCGATAGAGGCACGCAAGAACTAATACGTGGGAGACGCATGCGCGTTACGAAAGCTGCGCGCCGTGTTCGACGCGGCGAGTTTTCGGGCGGCTTGTCGCGGCGGCACATGCACGGGCGGTGCAGTACAGCCGAGAATCCCGCAGCGCGTGTTTGTTTTTAATTTTCGTGAGCCACGATATCCGACCAAATAGAATTTTCTTCGACAATAGAATCTCCGACTCGTGAGAGAGGCCTGTACCCTCTCTAGTTTTTCTTCTCTCTCTCTCTCTCTCTCCCTCTCTTTCTTTCTCTCTTTCTCTATCTTCTATTCTCTCTTCTTCTCTATCTCTCTCTTTCTCTCTGTTTCTTCTCTCTTTCTCAGTTGTCTAATTCTTTTGCCTTTCCCTCTCCCTGTTTGTTTTTTTCCGTTTCTTCTCTCCTCTCTTTCTCTATCCCCCTTCTCTTCTCCTTCCCCATCCTCCTCTCCTCCTCCCTCCTCCCACCCCTACTCTCTTACCAGTCCTTTCTGTTTCTGTCGCTCCCGCTTTCCTCTCTCTGTCTCTCTTTCCCCGCGTCGCCCCTACTCCCCAGCCCCTCTCTTCCTCCTCCCGATCGTCGTTTTCCTCCTCCTCCTGCCGCTCACACATAGTATACTGACTCCGCTATTTCTAAAAACGTAACGCAATCGTGGCGACGTATGCGAGGAGCGCGCCAGAGAGAAACCACGAGTGAGGAGGCGCGACGTACGAATATATCGAGTTATATTATATCGAGAAATTGTGCGAGTACACGGGAATCGAAGTGTGAATATAACACGACAGTGAAGAACGGGGAAGGATCGACGTAAAAACGTTGTGCGAAAACTGAACGTGAAAAGAACGAAGAGTTGTATTGGATTTTAATCGCAACGCCGTCTCCCTCTTGCTCATTTACGTTTAACTCACTCTCTTTTTCTCTCTCTCTCTATCTTTCTTTCTCTCTCCTCTCTCTTCTCTGTATCTTTTTCTTTCTATCTTACTATCTATTATATCTCTCACTCTCTGTCTTTCTTCTCGTCTCCCTTGATCTGCGAGAAAATATTTTTGGATCACCTCCAACCTATCTACTATTTTTCGCGTGACCGCCATAGGAGTAATCAAGTAATTGCAATGTGTGATAATACTAACACGACGACGCAGAGTATAGCGGACTACTTGTCACAGTTACTAAAAGACAGAAAGCAGTTAGCTGCTTTCCCTAATGTCTTCATACATGTAGAGCGCCTACTAGACGAAGGTAAGCAACCATTAATCCACTAATATCTCTCTATCTATCTATCTATCTGTCTATCTCTCTCTCTTCTCTTCGCTTCTTTCTATCTGTCTCTCTGTATAATTTTTTCGGAGTAGTGCATCTGACTTGGTTCCGTGACACGCCTTAGCGTAGTTTGCATGATTAACGCCTATATAGAGACGCCGTCGAGTCCTCGGTTCAAGCATGTCTCTTCTCTATGACCGCGAAACTTTCGCCACAGTTCGTGGAGATCGCAAGAGTCGCATACGCGTACACGCACACGCACAATCACGTACGTGAATGTGCGTGCGTCTCTGGTCTCTCTCTCTCGCGCGCGCGCGCACGCGAGAGCGGTGCCAGTGAGAAAAAGGGAACGAAACAGAAGCGGAACGTTAAGGAATACCGTGTGTGCTGGTATCACGATGGGAGAGGAGATCTCGTTGCCCTCGTATTTTGCCATAATCGGCAACGGACTGTCTTCCAACGCGGCCCGTGTTCTCTGTTCGTCGTCCTCGTCGTCGCTGTCGTCTTCGTGCCGACGTCTGTCTGTTTGCCTCTGTATGTGTATGTTTCTCTCTCTCTCTCTCTTTTTCTTTCTCTCTCTCGGTTTCTCCGTACTTGTCACGTGCCGCGCGTCCCGGTACCCGCTTGTACTCTTCTCTCCAGGTTATTTCATATTTCACGAATCTCCCACGCCCCTGCTTCGTCCATGGAAAAATTCGTTCGACGAATGCAAGTCGGACTGCCATGATTTTTCATACGACGAACAATCCTCGTTTAATCTCCACGCGATATTCGGCTCGGCTGCGCTCCGCTGCGAAACGATAGCCCGCCCTCGCGTTGCTCGAAACCGATCCCGTGTACCAAGATTACGTCTCACGGAGATTATTCTGTACATAGGTCTTCACTTTTGTTCTCTTGTAATGTGGGAAGATATACGGCGATCGTTAGGACATAAACCGTTCACTTAAAACGACCGGTTCCGGTCGCGGTTCAGTCGAAAAGGGAATCCGTCGTTTAACCCTTTCAGCCGGTTCGCTATTAACTTATTTTTTAATCGTCGCGAAAGATACAAAATCGCCGTTCGATCACGTTCGCGAGAAATTTTGCCCGATATTTTAGCCGTTCATCGTCTTGCCTTTATGATCTCATTTTCGAAGAAACGCGCGCGTGCAAACAATTTTTAATTTGGTGCATATCACGTAATAAGAGTAAAATATTTCTGTTGTCGTTTGATGTATTTATTTTAAATCATCTTTATTAGCAATTGTTTCATTTACAATAGAACAGATTAATTAGAGTGAATGCCAATGTTAAATGAGAACTGAAAAATATCCTTTTCAAGTTACGATGAAATTGAGAAACAAATTCCTCGAGTAATTGTAATTATTTTGAACAACAAACTATATATTCAAATACCTTTTTAATATTATTTATTTTCTAATCGTTCGTTGTAATTATAATGACACAATTTTAGGTAGGAAGAAAAGGCAAGGGAATGTGTAAATATTATAATAATTCTTTCTTCGACGATTAGAACCGTAATTATTTTGAACAACAAACTATTCAAATACCTTTTTAATATTATTTATTTTCTAATCGTTCGTTGTAATTATAATGACACAATTTTAGGTAGGAAGAAAAGGCAAGGGAATGTGTAAATATTATAATAATTCTTTCTTCAACGATTAGAACCGTAATTATTTTGAACAACAAACTATTCAAATACCTTCTTAATATTATTTATTTTCTAATAGTTCGTTGTAATTATAATGACACAATTTTAGGTAGGAAGAAAAGGCAAGGGAATGTGTAAATATTATAATAATTCTTTCTTCAACGATTAGAACCGTAATTATTTTGAACAACAAACTATTCAAATACCTTCTTAATATTATTTATTTTCTAATAGTTCGTTATAATTATAATGACACAGTTTTAGGTGGGAGGAAAAGGCAAGGGAATGCGTGAATATTATAATAATTCTTTCTTCAACGATTAGAACAAATTTATATGGTTACGAGACTCGATGACGTTGAGTTTTTGTAGAAAAATTAACAGAGTGTCCGTGCCCGTTCGCGCTAAGTAAAATTCGATTGCATTCAATTTCCACTTATGGGATTAAATGAATACGGTACTGTCGCGTGCGCCGGGATCGTAACCGAAGTTCAAATTCATGCATCTTCCCGCCGTTCGTATCGCGTAGTACTAACCTTAAGTCAAAAGACGAACAACATAACTCCGCGAAACGGTGCGGAACCGCGATGGCGTCCGACGAACCAACGTGTCCGGTATCGCATTCTTTTCGTCCTCGAAAAAAACCTGTAAAAGAGTGATTTGGAAAGCTCCCCGCGGAATGGTATGTCCGTTTCTTCCTTACTTTTCCCTTCGTTTCGCCATCTTTTCAACGCTCGGCGTGTAATTCGTTTCGATCGATTTTGCATCGAGCCGCCGCGGAATTCGTTCGCTCGAGCAAACGTGCGTCGAGCTAATTAGCTAACGTAGAGAAAAATCGTCGGTTTCGCGGGACGTGACATTACTCGAGGAGGTGATTTTTATCGTTTTGCGGTGAGCCGTAAACGCGGTTAGAATCGTCGCGTACCGCGCGCGAGAGGGAACAAGATACGAAACGAAAACGTCGTGATCGGAACGAGTGTGCCGGTGAAACGAAACGAGCCGCTGTTTCAAAGAAGAAGAACACAAGAGCTCGATCAAGAGAAATGAACAGATACTTCGTATCGCGTTCCACGCGATCGCCATTGTCGTCCGTCTATAGCGTTCGATGCTTCGTTTTTTCCTTTTTCTTTTTTTCAGTTATTCGTAATTCGTCGACGATGATTTCGCGTTGCCCGTGCCCGTGTTCGCGATAGAGGCAATCGCGGGAACCATTTTGCTTTGCCGTCTATTTTTGGAATATTTGTACATACGAGAGCGTGCGCCGACTCGCGCTGGCAAAGAAAAATTCGTATTATCTGTGTGTGTGTGTGTGTGTGTGTGTGTAAAACGGCCGGGATTTGATCGCGTTCTTTTTCTCCGGATAATGCGTCTCGCCTTAAAAAGGCGAAAAGCATCAACGAAAATTGATGAAAAAGAGAGTTTACTGAACCGGTGTGACGAACGACGCCGTCGGCACGTGTACCGTCCGATTAATCGAAAGCCGCGATTAGTCGAGAATCCGTGACGAGATTTCGCATGAATTATCGAAGGTTAATGGAGGAGGAGAGACGATGTTGCCAGTCCTCGAATTAATTCCGAGGACGTTGGACGCGAAGAGCTGTACAAAAGGCTCGTTACCGAAAATTACTTTAACAAATGCCCTGATGTATTCTCGGCGTACGTAAAATTGTTTACGAAGCGCATCCCCGGTTCTCTTATCGCGCTTAGAGTACCTTAGTTGTTTACATTCGGCGACGACACGATAAGTTCGTTATTTGCGGTACAACGAACGAGAGAAACACCATCTATATATACAGAGAAACACGCTCGCGCTCGTCCGGCCTGCGTTAGATTCGATTCTTCTCGTTTTTTGGAAATCAGGTGAAAGCTTATTCGTATTTTTGTTGCGTTTGTTATTCGCGATACGCGCACCGGCGCAGGCGGGAGTGGTTTATAGTGTTTCACAAGAAATGTGTCAAATGACGTTTACGAGCGGAACCGGTTTTACGAAAGCTCTCTCGGACCTCTCGCATTCCTGTGGACATAGTCCTGTTGATGCGAGGAATTTTATTTCACCTTTTTCTCGCCGGCCGAATACGTGGACATCTTGTTGTTCAACAAACGAAACACGTCGCTGAAAATTGCTCGCTTTCGCCTACGCCTCGACTATGCCGATCGCCACGATTTTCCAGGCTCGTTTAATCGAACATATTTGCCGGACGACGGTTTTATCCGGTCGAAATCGAAACGGAATTTTCCACAGCCAAAGAGAGAGAGAGAGAACGTATGCTTCTTCAACCGAGAAAACCCATAAAGCGATCGGGCATTTTCCAGGGACGGTGCACGGTGTTTTGCAACGCGCGCATTCCTGCATAAATTTTAGTTCGTTAGACGCAGTCCCTTCGACGGCGAGTCGCATAGGTGGCATTGCGCGGCTTCAGGAACAATGATGACAGAAAACGTAAACGGTCGCTCGGAAAACTAACGTTTGAATTTCCCGCGGCGCGCACGCTCCGTGACACGTTCGCGGTCTCGTTTTATATACAGGGTGTCCCGAAAATGTCTCGCAATCCGAAAGTAGGGGATTCCTGAGGCGATTCGAAGCAACTTTTTCCTTAGCGAAAATGCAATCCGCGGCTTCGTTTACGAGTTATTAATGAAAAACAGGTGACCAATCAGAGGCGAGATCATTTGGCGCGAGACGGCCGAGCCAATGAGCGGAACTCTGGGGGCTTCCGTGCACTCGTTGGCTGGGTCGCCGCGCGCCAGCCGAGCTCGCCTCTTATTGGTCAGTGTTTTTCGTTAATAACTCGTAAACGAAGCCTCGGAGAAAATTTTCGCAAAGGAAAAAGTTGCTTCAAATGACCTC